TCTCTCTTTCTCTCTTCTCTCTCTCTCTCTCTCTCTCTCTCTCTCTCGTCTCAACCAAATAAATGAGCTTATATTGTTTCATTGTAGTAGATAACCAGATCTCTCTCTCTCTCTCTTTCTCTCTCTCTGTTTATGTGTCTCAAAAAAAAGAAAAGACAAACTGAATAATACCAGAAATCAGAGAATTTCATTCATAAAATATTACAATTAATTAAATAACGACCAATTACAATCATTTACAAACCACTGGAAAGATACAAGGAGGTTAAATACCTCATGAAATAGAAAAAAACCAGATACATGAAACTTCAAAAAAGGTAACCCAATTGAGCTGACTCAACCATCAACAAGTAATTTATTTCTTTTTGCTTCTTCAAATTTCACTCTTCCATTCGAATGATGCAATGAAGGCCATCCCTTTTGAGTATGTATTCAAAAGTCTTAAAGATTTTTTAGAATGTGACTGAATGTGTGATGAACTTCTCCATGCGATGTGTACCTTCTTCATGTATTTGTCGACAACAGATGGAAGGTCAAAATGTGGCTTATAGTTTCCAAAGAATGTTCCTTTGAGAGTCCTTTCATTGAACATATTCATGGGGTGTGTCTTGAGCTGAAGTTGCAATACAGGATGGAAATCAATGAAAAGCAAGCCCTTCCAAGCATCCTATTCAGAATGATATAGAAAAATATCAATAGACAAAACATTACCTTCAAAAGAGTTCCTACTAAAACCCTTTTCCACCTCAATGTTGCTTCACAACCTCATAAATATCAATAGACAAAACAAATCATCATATAATTGTCACGATGCACATCAATATTCTTACATGCAGTGAGAAGTACATATCTTTCAGATTGAAGAAAATGCACACTCTAGGTTCAATTTTGGAGATCTGGGGCCTTCTTTGACCTCTAAATCTCTTTTTTTCCCTCTCTCCTTTTATAAATTGATATAGGACTGTTACAAATATGATATGAAAGATTCAGATAACAATTTGGTCCCACAAGACTCAAATTTTTCCTTCAATTTTTAGATTCCTATCTGTCACACCCATTTTTCAGAAATAAAAACTTACTTGCATCATGGATCGAGGGTTTGTAGCATAAGTTGTCTTGATGATCCTTTCTATTTGCAACTCATAATATTAATAACCAATAGTTACAAAGGAAAAAGTTATTTTCAATGCGGTAAGGATGCAGAGCAAATGCAAAATATAGGATGTTCCAATGCTAAGTCATAAACCAAGAAAGCACACAACTAGACGAAAATAAATCTCCGGAAGAAAATGGAGGCGATCATAACAAACATGATACCTCCAATTCAAACAAAATTTATCAACATGTTATATGGAGTGGCTATAATCTGGAAGGGAAATAATGCTGAAATTTTTCGAGTGTATAAACCAAGAGTAACTTACTCCTCCATCTCTGAGGATTCTAGATATGATTTCAATGTATTCAACAACAATGTGTGCTATATCAATGAAAAAATAGGTGACTACTGCATCGCATGAACCAGCCAGATCATCATGCAAGATTTTGACACTAAAATCAGTAAAAGGTGCCGAGCCTCAGTAGCAGTAACTCCAGGTAAGATAAAAAGCACTATAATCAAAAGAGCAAATCAAAAGAGCACTAGAAATAGGAGTGTCAAAATGGTAACTCCATTCCTCAACTCTGATTGTGTATCCAAATGGATCAAAGCTGGAATATGCCCTGCAACATAAGAATGAGGCTGAATCTCTGCTTCTCTTCCATTTTATAAATTATGAAGCAGCCCAAGAAGATGAAAATAAAGAAAAAAAAAATTGGCGGGTGGGATTGGGATGAAGGATAGATAATATGCAGAGAAACCTCTCAGAATAACAGCAAAAATGGAACTTAAACCCTGCTTATTAATGAAGAAAAAAAAAATCTATTCATCAAAAAAATAACCGAGCAAATTAAGAGAGTGAAGATCACACAGTCACAAGGATAAAACCACTCATGTAAATTGTTTGGACTTTGGACTATTCTGCAACTTTTAGTCCAACACCCATGAATGCATGTTTAAATTCCAAACCACCCAAGTCCAAGGAAACAAAAAAGATAATGAACAATTACCACAAAAAAAAAAAACAGAGCAAAGAATTGCCCTTTCTTTTTCATGACTATCCTTCCAAAACACATTCTACAATCAACAGCTTAGAAAGTTACGAATATAACGTGTTTCAGTGATTTCCCTATATTAATGCATTAAAGTTACAGTTTAGTTTGGCGGAGAGAGCATAAGATGCATCTTACCCCATCATGTTCTCCACAAACTCTATATAACTGCTATTTATCTTTTATTCGTCAGAGATACTTGCATACCGTGCATTACTCATAAGTACAATGATCAAGACACCCTTCACAACTATTACAAATATCATAAGAAAATAAAAAAACATAACTCTACAAACAATCATACAAACAAACCATTCAGAAGTACTTAATATCACTACCATGTTTGATAGATAATATGCTTAGACTCAAATCCCATCAAATGTGGCAGCTCTTTCTCAAAAGAATTCAAAATTAAGGGCATGTATAGCATTTTTGAAGAATAAGTGATATTCAAGAAAACCAGGGCAGTTCAATAGACAGGCATGTGGGATACACTATTTAAGTAATGTTGTCACTGTCATTTTCTCATTATCATTAGTATCAAAACAAACATCTGTACAAAGACAGAGAAAATGAGAGATTTATTCTTTTGTAGGTAGCTCAGTTTAGTTTGCTTGAGGGTTAAAACTCCTTCATGGAAACTTGACATGCTAAAATTTTTGTTCAAACTTTAGACTCACACGGTAGTACTGTCATTTTGGCTTAGCTTCTAATCCCATAAATTGTTACATCCAAATTTCTCAAAACAATAAGGCACAATTGAAAGCTCTGAATAGGATGTACTTTCATTGATTTACTTTCTCAGAAAATTTAATAGAAGAGCTTAAAAATGGAAAAAAATTCACTTAATTATTTATAATATGTGAAGAGGCCTTTATACCTGCCCAAGATGTCAGTTTATGTCCAACGAATTCCCTATATTATCATGCATCAAACAAAATAAGCTAGAGTTCCAGTTCCATTAGCTCACTCACGGAAAGAATTAAATCATGGCCATAGATTAGAACTTTCCATATATTCACCGAAATTAACAAACAATACAGTTCAAAGAAAACACAATTTTCTTCTTTTCTTCATTTTCTGATAGGAAGAAGTATGAATTAGAATACCAAAACAAAAAATTTCCAAAATCAAAATAAGATTATGCAGAAACTAGAAATTATCACCTGTCTATTACACAATCTAAAGCAAAATCAGAGAAATTGTAATACTATAATTAGAAAGCCAAAACTACGACCGTGAATGAGTAGAGCACGTGGAAGTGACATCCAATTCATTTACAGCAGGAGAAAGGAAATGCTCCAAATAAGCATCCAACAAGTAGGGAAATAAAACTCAACTCAATGGATGCCATTAAAAAATTGAGGAAAAGTGAGTGAAAGGCATAGAGAAAGAAAGAAGAAGAGGCTGACCAGTCGAAGATCGGCGACTGTCGGAGTCGAAGAAGCCAATAGATGGAGGAATTTGAGGACTGTGGCTTCGATCCTTGCTCGCACCTGAAAAACTCAAAAATTTGTGATCATTTTTAGAGAGAGAGATAGAGCCTCTGGAGGTTGAAGGATGTCTGCTGAGCAGAGTAATTCATATATAAGAAAAAGTAATTCATATAGCTTCTTGACTTTGATCACCATAGACTTCAGCAAAATCCCCACCACACATTGAAAAACCATCTGTTATTCCTGCATTGTTGCTATCCAGTTTGCTAAGACAGTGTGAAAATCTTATGTATCATCCATGTCGCTATACACATCATACAAAAACCTTAAGCTCCCTTTATTTTCTAAGCTCATTGGTGGTGTATATGATAATAAAATGTATTAGTCAATGAGAAAAGGGAAGATAAGCCATAACCCAATTATGAGAATAAAAAGACTTAGTCACAGCCAAAACTTAGTCGAATTGCCCAAGTTTTTCAATTTTGGAAAGAACTTGTCGAATTCTAAATGTAAGAGGGTGTGTGTGAGCGTTATCAGCAAGTGTGTCCAACAACAAGCATTGAACTGAGACCAAATCTAGAAACAGATACAACTGCTTACCTGAAACCCACAACATGTAATTTGGCATTAATTCAGATTTTATGGCCCTAAAAAAAAAAAGGTAATAATCTAAAGAAAAAACACTGAATTTCATTGGAAAAGGAACATAATATTATTAATGATAGTAATGACAACATCAACTCATAAAATTTAGCTAATTAACAACAACTCCTTGATAGATTTTACAAATTAAAAATATAAATAAGATCAAATACGAATACTCCAAAGAAAAAAAAATGGTTACCATTGTTCATTAAATGCAATGAGGTAAAAGACCAAAAGGCTTACCAAATTATTGTTCGTATTATAAAATTCCAAATCCTTGATAACAATGATCTCATTCAAACGAATGCACAATGTCCTAAAAAATATTCTCTCTTCCATACGTACTTTTTTAAGCATTTTCTACGGTGATTTAGTGAGTAAATTTTGATTTAAACTCACTGATTTTGCATCTAGCACTCTGAAACAGAGTCCTTCATTCACAAATCCCATTTTGGGATCTAATCACAAACTTTGGCATTCTTTTAGACATCAAAGAGAAATATTGGTGTTTATTCATGATAAGGGTTTGATTTAAACTGTGATAATCTAAAATCACTTAATTTATTTTTAACCAAACCCAAAATTTCCTCTCCCATATGTCGTTTTCTCTTCCATTTTCTGTGACTGTGATTTCCACTCCTATTTTTGGTGATTTATTAGGGAAAAACATAAGGTTTTATTAGAACTCTTCAATTTGGGATCTGCTAAAAAATTTTGAGTTGGGTATTTTTTATTTGGGATCGTTGTTTATTCAGAGATTGTGGCTTCGTATTTGAGCAAAGAAAATAATACCAATGAGGATAGATGCAGGCGATTTCAACAGAAAAAAATGAGAGAAATGAATTGAATTTTTTTTTTTTTATTCAGAAAATAAAGTTTTCCAATCAAAGTTAGGGTTTATATGGTGATCTATAGACCATAAATCAAATAAAATTGTATTTACTCACCAATTTCGGTGCCCTAATCTTGAATCCAATGTTTCTAAGTGTGTTTCTCTAGATGCCAACAGCCACAGCTACTCAGAGACGAGGGCGAGCCACAGCTGCTCAGAGACGAGAGCGAGCCACAACTACTCAGAGATGAAGGCGAGCGAGAGAGGGGGAGCTTCTCAGTGATGAGGACGAGCGAGAAAAGGGGAGCTTCGCAGAGAAAACCTTTGATTCTAGAGAGAGAGATGGAGCATGCAGGAGGAAATGGGGTACGACTGATATTAGGTGAGGTTTGAAGGTTTTCAATGAATGGCTCCTTCGCGCGCGGGGGTAGGAGGTTTTAAAAATAAATCATGGCCTTACGTTTTGAATTAATTTAACACACGGTGGATATAGGGGGGGAAGGGGGCCAAAATATTGTTCCTTAATGCCTATAGGCGTTGGAAAATTTTTTCCATATATATATATATATATATAAAATGAGAAATGCAGCCTCGTGTAAAGACTTCACATATGCCCAATGGCCCCGATTTCCCATCCTTAATCCCACGACACTCTTTCCTTCTCTATTTCCTGTTTTCAAATAAAGGGCCCTCTTTGCTTTTCTCTTTCTCCCTTTCCTAATACACTAGTATACTCTCTTTCCTTCTCTCTCTCTATATGTACCATCTTTGCCACTGCCCCACCGCTGCTCCCTCTCTCTTTACCATGTTGTTACCTCTCTCTACCATGTTGTTATCTCTACCCTGTTGTTGTCTCTCTCTACCATGGTGTTGCCTCTCTCTACCTTGTTGTCTCTCTTCTCGCTCTACCTTGTTGTCGCCACTCTGTCTACCATGTGTCATCTCTCTCTCTCTTTCTACTCTACTGTTGCTCCTCTCTCTACACTGTTATCACGTCTCTTTATGTTGTTATCATTTCTTTCTACCCTGTTGTCATCTCTCTATCTCTCTCTACCCTTTTAATGTAGTAAGATTTCAAAGTCCAAGGGCCTTTCTTTTGCTAGTTTGCGTGTTTTTATTTGTAAAAAGCAATGGCTTGCAGAGCCTACAAAACAGCTAAGCAAATGGTAGTGCATGGTTTCTATTTTGAAAATGGGGGAGAGAGATGGTACATCGTTAGGCTACAATGTGTCAAATTCTTTATTTGAAAATGGGAGAGAGAGAATAGGAAAGAGGCGATGACAAATCGAGGCTGTTGGGCGTACATGAAGTTCGTACGTGAGGTTGTATTTCTCACCATTTTTCTATATATATATATATATATATATATATATATATATATAACTAA